AGAAATATACATATATATATATTTGACCAATGTGTGTTTAATCTACATAAACTGAATACTTAATAAATGTTGAAGTAATTTTGCAGATTGCATAGAGCTGTAAATTCTATGAGGATTGGGAATATATTTTATTCATCTTTGAATTCTCTCAGCACCTGGCATGGGGACTTGCACATAGTAGACCATTAATAATCTTTTTTGAATAAATGAATTAATTTGCTTTGTTTCATATACATTTCATTTCTAGAACAATAACTGAAGACTGGCTGGAAATATAAGGAAAATGAACCATAATTGGAGAATATAATAAAGCCTGTCACTCACATCTGAGACACCTATTATAAATGCTTCTGATGCCTCATTAAAGACATTCTATTGTTTTCAGAATGCATTTTTTCCATAGTAAATAATCACCTCTTGCTATAATTTAAACATTGACACTATCAAAATGATCGGTTCCAAAACACAGATCTGATTCTGTCATTTCGCTGCTTAAAAACCTGCAACACCTCCAACCCCCCACCACCAGTCTATACAACAGAGTCCAAATTCCTAACTATGGCATGGAAGGTTCTATATGATTTGTCCTCAGTTCATTTCTTCCCAGCCAATGTAGCCCACGTGCTATCTATCCAGGGGCACTTGCAATTTCTAAAACATGCTATACATATTTGTTCTTCTATGTCTTTATCATGCTGTTTCCTCTACTTAAAATGTCACTCCTCATACCATATCTTGCTCTTCTGCTGTCTACACCCATCACCATACTATTCATTCCTAGGGGCTCAACTCCAATGCTTTCTCATGGGAGACTGTGCTGTCTCCCATGCTTAAATAATTGTACCATTTGTTGTTCTCTTATAGTACTTTACTCATGCTCCATATGTTGTATAATAGCTAACTGTTTATATACCTAACACTCTCTCCTAGATTGTGAACTTTTTTGTTTGTACATCTCATTTTCCCATATTCTTTGGGCTATGTCTATGTTTTCTAGAAAGCTGTCATAGAGTATGTGCCTAACACACAGTAAATGATCAATAAATGTAGTTTGGAATAAAAACAATACATGCACTTATATTTCCACATAGAAATACACATTAAAAATTCTTCTAAATGTAATGGGGGCTAACTGAAAATCCTAAGAGTTAGTAGAAGGTAGAAAGGCTTTCTTAAACCATTGGTGATTTCTGTCCTGATGAAAGAGAAGACTTGAACATTTCTTCAGAGGCAGACTGCTCTGGAAAAACTACATGGATTGTTTAGCTATTCATGTTAAAGCAAGTATACATTTATTACTCTTGGAAAACTATAACTTGAGTGTAGATGCTTTAGTTTGTGAAGCAGAGTGCTCCATTTGGATATGCAAATCTTTGTGTGTGGAGCAGGAGCATTGCTTCCGCAGACATTGATGCAGAAGAGAAAAACTGTTCCTTTTCTCTCTGTGGATGTAGACCACATATGTGTTGTTTCTGTGGAGATGCGAATGTCCTTGTTTCAGCCCTTGCTCTTAGAAGAACAAAAGCTGAGCTCTAAAAGATACAGGCAAACAAGGACAGGCATAATCCTTACTGCTTACTGGAGAAATAATTAGGCAAAGGGACTGGACTGGCTTTGGTGAGGCTCTACCTAGACCTATTTATAAAGATTAACTCAGTCTTTGTGAGAAATGTGCTGGGTTTGGACTCTTATGTTATGAAGGTGATAGTCCAGTTGGGTCAAAGGTTAAGGTCACACTCCTCAGGATGGAAGGTGGGGTTTCCTCTAAAGGAGTAGGTATTCCCATGGTCAGTCATCCTATGGAAAGGCAGCAACTGGGACAGGGGGTGGGACTTTGAAAATGCACCTTAAACTGGGTAAGGAGAGTTGTTTTCTTCTCTGAGTGGTTGAGCCTGAATGCTCAAGACAGGGTCAGGGGAACTCTTGATGGAGCGGGGGGCTGTCATTAGCCACATAGACCCTGGCTGCAAGCTCAACAATAAGGCAGGCCTGTAGTCCATAAGGGCTTTGAGAGTAGCCATGTCATACCTGCAGTTTACTCTGTATTGCTCTTCCTTTTTAATATTGTTATATAACCCTGGTCTTAGCTGTGCTATAAGGAGACTATGATGGGAAGAACCAGGGTTTGTGATGTCCTGGTGAAGAGGAGGCAGTGCTTCTTCCTGCTGGATCCCAAGGCAATGGTGAAAGTTTCAATGGCTGGAGAGAGATCAATATCCCAGAACATCAGGGTATGTGACATCTGAAATACAGGCAGGAGTAATTCAGTTATTTCAGGCATATGTTGGTGACAGAATCACCCTTAGGGACTCCTCAACAGTAGAGCAGGGAGGGAAACTTTAAAGGGAGCCGATATCCTAATAATTTGGAAGGTGGGAGCTCAGAGTTATTGTAGTTTGGAATTTTAAATATGGCCTCCTTTATACCCAAAAACTTAATGAAAGCTATGATGCTCTAATTATCAAGGGCACATGAGGCCTTTTATTGAACACACCCTTTTTATCCTGGATATCCTGCTCAAAAGGCTTGACAAAAACAAAGACAAACAAAATATTCCTCAGTGTGATTTTATATGAGTCTTTTCTTTTTAGTTTCTCCCAGGCTTCTGCTCTCAATCCCTAAATAGGCATACATTTCACCAGAAACTGATAGTTTCTTGCTTTTCTTCCATTATGCATCCATCCTCTGTTTTCCTCACAAAGTGTTCTGAATAAGAGCGTAAGGGAAAGTTTGAAATTCTTTCTGGATATTATGCATAAGCACGGATGAATATGTAACTGGTCTTTCAATGAGGTGCACATCTAAGTTTATATGATTTTCTTAGGCTGAACAGGAATGTTACTTAACACATTGGCATAGAAGCCACAGTCTCATCCCTGTTGATTGCATCTATGGTCATACTCTGAAAAAAGACTGCATTCAGTTCCTGAGAGCTTTTCTGGATTCATGATGCTTTGCCTTTTTATTCTAACAGCTGCTTATTTGCATAACCTGTTAAAGACATTTCCCTACCATCAAACTACTGGGCTTCCTCTAGTTCTTGGACATTTTTTCTTGCTCTTACAGATTCTGTAAACAAACAGCAACTTTTGCCTTCAACATAAGTTCTGCCTGCCTGAAATCTTTCATTGTCTTCTCCCAACTACACAACAAAGCTGAGTTTTGCAAAATATCACTTTGACATATTAATAATTTCATTTATCTCCAAGATCTTCCTGAAATTCTTAATTTTTTCACGTATCTTTCCCTGGGACTTAGATGCAATGAAATATCTATCTCATTTACTTCATTCAACAAAAACTTACTGAATACTTACTGTGTTGCACATACAAGGCTACCTGCTGTGGCTACAAAGTAGAGGAACTCACATCTGGTTTAATGGCTAGAATATTTGACTTACTGTTCTAGTTTCTTAACTCTAGGATTACATTGAAAAGCGAAACCTCCTCTTATGACTATTGAATGACATAAATGAGAATGCAACTAATAAAGAGGTGATAACTAAAGTGGGAGAGGGTCCCATGCAAAAAAATTGGGAGAAATATTGGAAATCAAGGACGCAAGAGAAGCATACTATATTTAAGGAGGCTCTATGCCCAGAAAGGGGCTTGAGCTCAGGACCTGAGATCAAGAGTCACATGCTGTACCCACCAAGCCAGCCAGGTGTCTCCGGGTAAACAAACAAACAAACAAACAAACAAGTACTTTAAAAGTTGGCTGTTTTCTAAGTTAATGTAGAGTTTCATTTTTATGTGTATCCGTATAAACAAGAACAGTATAAATTAAAATAATAGGAAATTATGCATCTTTCATTATTTATTAAATTAATATATTTTGGCATCAATTTTGTGTTGATATGATTCTTTTATATAACATTTCCTTCCATCAAAAAATTTTGAGCGAGAATATTATGTTTCTTGGTGAAGTTTTCATAAAGAACGTGAGATCTTTGGATAAGGGGTCACAAAGGGCAGTAGACAATTTTTTTTTTTCCTCTGTGATACATACCTCCTTGACATACTCTGGTGTTTTGTTGAGGAAGTAAGAAAATACGGTAATTCTAGTTCTGAAGGTGCAAGGAAAGGACCCACCACTTCCTCTGCACCCTACCGGCTGAAGGAGCACACCTCAGTCTCTTTTGTCTTCTGAAAATAAAAGCGAGGCATAGGGTGTTAGAGTGAAGGGTTTCCTAGGGGTTAAACCCGAGTGCTTAAGAGCCCTTTCGAACCCTACAGCTTTTACTCAAGTAGCTACTGTAAAATAGATGTTGTTCAAAATAAGAGGGCTGGGGCAGAGGCCCGTCGCGCCCACCTGGGGTACAGCTCAGGTGGGGGCAGGCGCCTGGTCCGGAGCGGAAGGTGCCTGCATTCTGCAGGTGCGGGGATTGTTTTCTTGCACCGCCCCGGCTCCCGAGAGGGCGGGACTCGCGGCGTTGCAGAGTGTGGGACTTGGCCCCTGAAGCAGAGTCTAAACGTATTCCACGCAGCAGACATTTACTCAGCCGGGTGCCCACACCTGGCCTGGGGGAGGGGAAACAGCTTCTACAGGAACCGCAGAGACAAGAGGAGCCCCTCGTTTGGGACGCCAGAGGGCTGGTCCCGCTAGGCTCTGTCCGACTGCTTTCCCGTGATTGCTTCTCCCACCTGTCCATCATATCAATACCCTATCTCGATTGGTTCTTCTCTCTGCCACTCGGTTCCGCCGCGCTGACCCCCATTGGCCCCTCTCCGGCCGAGGCCCCGCCCCACGAACTGGGCATGGGGAGTGGGGCGCGGAGGAGAGAGAGCGGGGCGCTTGCTCGGGGCTGGGGGGAGGCGGTGGCGAAGAAGGAGGAGGAGAAGAAGGAGGAGCTGGGACAGCAGGAGGCAGCGGCCGCGACCCGACTGGGGTGATGGTGCAGGTGCCCGGGGCCCGCGAGGAGCTGCCCGGCTGAGGGGCGCCTGGTCCGGGGTCCGCAGCGCCGCCGCGTCTCTCCCGGGGGCGGGCGGGCGGGCGGGAAGATGCTGAGCAGGTTGATGAGCGGCAGCAGCAGGAGCCTGGAGCGCGAGTACAGCTGCACCGTGCGGCTGCTGGACGACAGCGAGTACACCTGCACCATCCAGGTCAGTGCCGCGCTGCCCTGCCCGCGGAACCCCTTCGTCCCCCGACTCTGGCCAACTTGGCCCGCCGCCGCCGCCCGGGGTCGCCGCAGACCCCGGTGCTTTGTCCGTCCCCGGCTGCGGCGGACGGCCCCGGTGCAGAGAGCGCCTCCGCCCGAGACCGGGTCCGGGGCGGGGTACCAGGCGCTCCGCGCAGCTGCGGTGAGAGTCCCTCCGTCCCGGACCCTCAGCTATCCCTCTGCCCTCTCCCAGGGTGAGGGCACCCCATCCTGACTCCTCGAGCCTGCTGGGGTGGGGAGCATCTTCCGCGGGCGTCCAGAGAGAGGCGGGCAGGGCGGGAGGCTCCTACCCCGGCCGCCCCGTCGGGGGGTACAGGCTTTGGCTCTCCAGCCAGGCAAGGACCGCTGGCCGGCTTTTCTTATCTATCTTTGGTTGGAAGGATAATGCTGTATGTCATAATCACCCCCCCCCCCAGCATTTGTGAGTCAGAGCTCTCAGAAGGTGATGAACAGCAGCCCATGCAGAGTGGCCTATGGAAGGGAGCCCAGCCTCTGGGCTCCCCAGGATGCCCCACCCCCCCCACCACTTAACTGCTCCACTTAGTCTCTCATTTGTGTTGGGCAATTATGGGGGGCGTGAGGTAAAGATTTAGCAACAAGTACCAGAGATTTGAGGATTGGCCGTGGCGAGAAAGAATCGGTGACTTACAAATAACACCAACAATACGTTAATGCTTCGCAGCATTTCTTCAGAAACCTGGTATTTTGGAAGGGATTTTTACAACCTCTTATGTGTTTTCACTACTGCTGTGTGGAACGTCTGGAGTAGTAGTCTTTCCCAGGAATGCAGTCACAGCCCTCTCTCCTCCTCTGTAAAGTCAGTGATAGGAAACATTGACAATGCTCCGGTGTTTAGTTCAGCAGCCGGAGGATCCTGCGCTCGCTGCCGGAAACTGCTCTTTCTGGAGAAGCAAATTGAGTTGGACCCGGAGGGGTCTCATCTGATCCCTTGCCTTTGCAACAAGAAACCAGAGGGGGCTTCTCGCCTCAGATGTGGCAGACAAAAACTGTCGGCCTCTGGTTCTACCCTCTTTGTCTCCTGGCCCCCCAACCCCCCATTTATTTTTTTGCTGACAATGCTCAATAGCGGAAAATAGCGGTGTGTGAGAAAGACGCTGGGTAGTGTGTGAGAGCAGCTGCTCTCTGCTGAGTCCGTGCTCAGTTCAGCCTTCTCCTCACTTTCCCTTTTCTCCCACTCTCCAAACCAGCTCTGGGCATAAGTGCTGACTGCTGTCAAAGATGCAGGAGGGCAGAGAAAGAGAACAACATCGCTTTTTAAGGCCACTTAAACACAGTCATAAAGATGCTAGCCATCACGTGAAAAGGATTTTGGTAGTTGAATCTGAGAGATGTTCGGTATTTTCTCACAGAATGAGTGGCATGCTACTTTTTGTTTCTGTTGTATCTTTATGTGCCATGTACAGTTTTTTTTTTTGTTTGTTTTTGGGTGGGGGAGGAGAAAACATTGACTTGACATATTCACCATTTGAATGCATTGTCTAGAGCTTTTAAAGTCTTTATCCTTTTGTTTTAAAATTTAAAGCATTTACACAATAGCATATGAAGGGCAGTGTAAGATTTAGACTTTGTGAGTCCTAAGAATTCTTTGGGGTATATGGTGAAATAAAATTCCTGGGGCAGGTCATTAACTTTTGCCAAGGTATAGAGTACAAATGAAACAAAATTCACATCACCACTCCACTAGTGATAATCTTGTGGCTTTTACAGTGTCACAATAAGACAACTAGTTATTTTTTCCCAGTTAGTGGAACCTTTGAGGTTGGTTGGTTGGTATTACAGTTGTGGGTAGTTTTTATTACTGTTAAGAAAAACAGTATTTTTAAGTCTAACAGGACTTACTGGGTTTATGCTTGCTATACCTTACTATGGTTGTGTTTCTTTTCCTGCTGGTCTTCTTTTACATTATTACAAGTCAATGTGTTATAAAAATTCAGGCCACATAAAAAATTAAGCTTGGTGTAACATGATTATACTGTAGTGAGTGTCCACTGTCTAGACATGTTAATGATTGTGCATTGTGATTCTTGCATGAAAATTTTAAAAATACAGGAATTCTGAAATTTATGTAATATTGTCAGTCTTTGGCACCACTATTGTGAATTCCTTTTGTTTTTACCCAATGAGAGGAAATGTCAAAAAAAAAAAAGACAGGATATTATGTGAAATTAATATTTTGTGGATATAGCTTTTTTTAAGCTTTTAGAGATTGAGCTTTTCTTAGTAACTTTCACCCCTTATACATTTCTGTAGTGTATTTGTGTGTTTGTGCATGCGCTTATTTGTCAAGCATTGGGCACTGGGTCTTTTAAATCAGTATGGAAAGGAGCTGTGAGCTACTTGCTAGGTTAAAGCAATATTCCTAACATTCTAGGAATTGCAGTACAGTATTTAAAAAAAAAACTTGGTGATAATTTGGAATCATTTTCCTTAAAATATTGTATGCCATATTTTTCTTTAAATAAGGTATGTATTGTAGAGTGATTTCAGTACTTCTTGGGATAATCTAATACTTAGGGTATTAGAGAGTCAGAAATGTATCACTAGGTTAGAGCCATAATAGCCACATTTGGTAAATTTCAGTTGTAGGAAATTCTGTCAAAGTATTGTTCTAGCCTTTCATATTGCACCAGTTCTACTGATCTAGCATTTAGGATGTGATTATTAAGGTAAGGAAAACGCCTTATATCCTTTCAGTAAAGATTGCCTCAGTTACCAGACTATTCTTTTATTCTTTCTGATATGCAAATGTATTTGTAGATCATGAGAAATGAAAGTATACATAGGGTTGTAATATAATTGCTCCCCTGTGAAGAACATTGTTAACAGCTCCCTGCCAGTTTTGAAGGTCATTGCTTCATAAATGCAGATCTAGTCTGTAATTTCTACACATCTGTTTCATTTATGAATATCTACATTTATTTACTACATTTACTACCCTACTTTGTTATTTTATTTGGGAGCAAATAGGAAAAATGAAAAGGCTACCTAATATCTTTGAACTTAGTATATCAAATGGACTCATTTAAATGCTTAGATAGGTAATATCCTAAGTAATAGATTTTTGACTGTTTTGAGTTTAATAGTTTATAAAATATTAAGAATATACATTAAGGAATGCCAGTAGAAATTCATATCAAAAATACATATTTTCAAGTCTGAAATATTAATCACTTTTTTTCTGATTACTGAAAAGTAAAGCTGCCCTAGAAATAAATTTGATTTTACTGGGAACACATTAAAATAATAACTGATCAAGCAGCTAGGTTAAATTTGTTTTTGCAGTTAAATGAGGTACTATCATAAATAAAATGCATATGTACAGAAACAGTTCTATAGTAGAACCAAGATCTGGATTTGACTGCGGCTCAGCCATTTAGTAACTGTGGGACCTAGGGTAAGAGAGGGAGTACTGGGGGAGAGAACAAATGTATTGAGCCCCATACTTGTGAGGTGCCCCGCTTGTGTTCTCACTTACCTCACAATAGCATGTGGATTCAGTAGACACCTCTTGTATCAGCTGAAGAAAATAAGATTGTGGATTGCTGGGATAGCTGATGTTTCTTGAATGGGCAGCTCTGTACTATGCTTTCTGCTAGGTGCTTTGCTTATACCTTACATCAACTATTTGAGAGGTAGGTGTTATTATCCTCATTTTACAGATGAAAGGCTTGGATGAAGGAACTTGCTCAAAGCTAGTAGTAGGTGGCTATACTATATTGAAACTCTGGTCATTTTGTCTATAAAATCCCAGCTTTGTTCCCTATATTCCTCCTGACTTCCTAAGTCAGTTCACCTGTCTGTATCTTAATTTTCTCATCTGTAAAATGAGAACAATAATTAATACTTATTTCATAGTAAAGAGAAAATTATTTGGTAATGTCTTTACAAATACTAACAAGATTTAAACAGACTAATCTGTACTTACATTGTGCCTTATTCTATTCAAATAAAAAATAGGATTTTGTTTTTGGAAAATAAATTAACCCTTAGGTGTCCTTAAAATGATGTCTGATTAATCTCAGTGAAATTGTACAATCCAAAGCTGGAATAACTGGATTCTGTAGTAGAATTCTTCTCTAAAATTCAAGAGTTCAGGTTTGCTTTCCTTCTATCCTACCAAAGCTTTGGCTTTAGAGGGGCATTTATTTCCTGGACTGACCGTGATTTGTCTTTTCTAAGAATTTCTGTTTCATATTTGGTAAGCAAAATCCTTGGTTTCATTAATGCAAAAGGGATGTTGTTAGAGACTTAAGATAATTTTATTCACAGAAAAACACAAAGCTGTTGTATTTTCGTGAATTCATTGTTTTTTTCTAAAACTTTGTTTTAAAAAGGTAATTATGGTGTCTCAGGATCTGTTAAAATAGTAAGTCAGACTCTAATTCTCGAAACTAAGGTCCAAAATTAGCCTTCTAGAATCCTAAAAGCACTCGTATTCTGTTTCTTAATTTGTATATGGAAATATCTATTGTATAAAACTAATGCAGATCAACCTTTAAGGACAAAAGGTATATTTTAGATATGTATTTATGCTCTTATTCTTTCTCCTTTTGAAAAAGTCCAGTTTAGGGAAATAGCAGTGGCATCCAAGAGAAACCTAGAAGCATTCACCATAGCAGATTTTACTCAAGGGTATTTGTATGAATTTGCATTCAATTAAATGCTTGGAATGAATATGCTAGACAAGGCAATTCAACATAGTGTATAATAAAAGAGCATGTGGTTTTTGAGTCCTCTGTTTGTTACATTGCCCAGAGACAAGTTGATCGTGTCTGTGCTAGTGTTAATATCACACTTTAAAAAAAAGTTTGCCAAGATAAAAATCAGACAACCTAAGACAAAAAATAGTCATTTTTATTATACAATTGTAGTGGTTTATGTATAGGTATTAAAATGTGTAGCCCAAAATAAGCAAGGTGGTAA